ACCAAGGGAACCTCCCTCCCTGCCCGTCCAGGACACCAGCATCATTTCCTCCAGGAGCCTAAGCTTTCACAACGCAGAAGATGTCTTCAAGCAACTTCTGCTTTTTTCTTTTTCTTCCGCCAGCAATCCTTCCTGAGGTGAAGGACAACAAATGCTGGGTCTGAATAAACATCAAAGCATGAATAGCAGCCTTTATTCTGCTTCTGCACAGCCAGGAAAAGAAAGAACAAAGTGACTAAATAGCCCACCACTCCGGTTTAGCTGAAGTCAACCTTCTGCATAAGCCCTGCCCACTTCCTCCCTCTCCATAGCCCCAAGACCTAGCAAGATAGGCAACCTCAAAAGCGCACCACCAATGGAACGATGGGAGAGTGAATCTCAGGAGAGCAGCTAACATAGTTATTTTTTCTATTAATTCACCTCTGAGTTGGGACAAAAGTAACGTGGCCTTGTGGGTGGGTGTGAGTTTGGGCCCTTGGAAGATGTGGGTATATAGCTCAAGTTAGGGGAAAATGTTAAATAACAGGTAATATTTCTCTGTTGCCTGAAGCTTTTAACTCTGTGCCTGTTCAGGTTCTTTGGTCACTCAACATTTTTTTGGTTTTCTTTTCTCTTTTTGAAAGGGAGTCTTGCTCTGTCTCCCAGGCTGTTGTGCAGTGGCGCCATCTTGGCTCACCACAACCTCTGCCTCACCGCAACCTCTGCCTCAAGAATCGCTTGAGCCTCCGCCTCCGGAGTAGCTGGGATTACAGGTCTGTGCCACCACAGCTGGCTAATTTTTGTATTTTTAGTAGAGATGGGGTTTCACCATTTTTTTTTTTAAGTGGTAATTATTTCTTAAGCACAAAGTGTTTTCTCCACCACACGTACAAGCCAGACTTGGCCTCTCTTTCTGACTCATTTACTAGCACTGGCCCCAAACTCTCTACAGTCCAGTGACCCTGGCTGCCTTTCTGCTTCTCACACAGCTCATGCTTCGTCCAGCCCAGGGCCCGTGTTCTCAATATTATTCCTTCCTGGGACCATCCCTCCAGATCTCAGTGACGGCCTATATGCGGTCGTAGCTTCAGTGTCATCTCCTGAGACAGCCTCCCGGACCACATTCTCTAAAGCATCCCAGCCATCATCATGCCTCTCAATCATTTTATCTAGTTTTGTCAGAAGCGTCTGAACCAGAGCAACTCAATCTTGAATAAGGGCTGGATACAATGAGGTTAAGACCTACTGGGCTGCATTCACAGATGGTGAAGGCATTCTAAATCACAGAATGAGACAGGAGGTGATAAAGACCTTGCTGATAAAACAGGATGCAGTAAAGAAGCCAGCCAAGACCGAACAAAACCAAGATGGCAACGAGAGCGATCTCTGGCTGTCCTCACTGCTACACTCCCACCGGTGCCATGACAGCTTACAAATGCCATGGCCATGTCAGGAAGTTACCCGATACGGTCTAGAAAGGGAAAGCGTGAATAATCCACTCCTTGTTTAGCATATCATCAAGAAATAACCATAAAAATGGGCAACCAGGTCCAGGTGAAGTTGCTCATTCCTGTAATCCTAGCACTTTGGGAGGCTGAGGTGGGTGGATCACCTGAGCTCAGGAGTTTGAGACCAGCCTGGCCAACATGGCGAAACCCTTTCTCTACTAAAAATACAAAAATCAGCTGGGCGTCGTGGCAGGTGCCTGTAATCCCAACTTCTCAGGAGGCTAAGGCAGGAGAATTGCTGGAAACCGGGGGTGGAGGTTGCAGGGGTGGAGGTTGCAGTGAGCTGAGATCCCGCCATTGCACTCCAGTCTGGGCAAAAGAGTGAAACTCTGTCTCAAAAAAAAAGGGCATTCCATCTCAAAGAAAAAAAAAAAACACAAACAAAGGCAACCAGCAGCCCTCGGGGCTGCTCTGTCTATGGAGTAGCTATTCTTTTATTTGTTTATTTTCTTAATAAACTTGCTTTTACTTTAAGGACTCTCCCTGAATTCTTTCTTGTGCAAGATCCAAGAACCCTCTCTCGGGCTCTGGATCAGGATCCCTTTCCGGTAACGGTTTTGTTTTATTTATTTATTTATTT